CCCCCCCCCCCCCCCACTTATCGATCTTTTGACGCCTATGCTCAGCGAAGTTAAAGTACGTGACAAAATGTGATTCAGCGGCACAAACTTGGCTTAGAATGCAGGATGTATACGGCTTATGTGAAATTTGTAGAGGTGGGTGGGTGTTTCCCCCGAGATTTACAGTCTCTACTCCGTGGAGCGCGTGCCCTCTCAACCATTTATTTCATTGCTCGTTGCTCCCTAATCAAACTTTAAACAAAAACGCCATGCATATAATATGTATGCAAAAGTTTGTTTGAGCTTTCCGCGTCGTTCGTAACACATACAATACATGAATACAATTAGTAAAATATGTCAGAAATTAAGAACTTTTGCCACATTTCGAAAATAAACATAACACTGACATCACTTTTATTAATTCGCATTCCGATTGGACCTCTTAAAAGTACATTCGGTCAGGTGCCGCAGGAACCGGGTTATGGGCAATGGTTGCATGTGAAAGTGAAACTAAAAGTGCCCTTTTTTCTGGGCTAAACTGCCCCATAAAAAAGGAAAAAAGAATTTCTTTCATGAACGCCTTGTTCTGCTAGAAAGAAACTAAGAAAGTGCCCTTTTTGCAGTAGTAAATCCACTCCGACTCCATATTTTCAAAAATGTTCGTTCGGCTCGTGGACGACATAAAATCGTTTGATTTTGGTGATGTACAAAAGTGCCCCTATCAGGCCAACGGGCCTCTGCATTCTGTTGGCGCACAGTGTGGTTGGCGGAACTCAAAGGAGTTGCGAAATTGATTACGGAATTGTTGTCGTGCAATGTGGAAACATTTGCAAAATATGGCGGTCAAATCTTGTGGGGATTTGAATATTTGGAAAACTATTTCGCGTATTTTTCTTTCCAATGAGACGAAAATAATGTTTTGTTGAGCACAAATGGAATTTAACCGTAGAAATGCTATAATGTTTGTAGTGGGCGTTCTAGGAGGCGCTGGGGCAGTATATACGCTGGTATACTTGCGGAAAATGTTGCGCAAATCTTCAAAGAGAGCAACCATTGAGCAGTTGACAGACGGAATTAGCTTGGAAACGCTAAAAAAACTATCAGAAGTGCCTAATGTGAGTATTAGACAGTGTGCCCGTGGTGTTTTAACAGCCCGTGCTCTGAAACCCGAATGTCTAAGGTTTTTAATTCAACTTTGTTATGCTGAGGATGAGGAGAGCGTTTTAAAAGCTTGTACTGTATTGGAATTTCTTACCAAGAACGCAAAATGTAGAGCAAGGGTTATTTATTTGGGGGCTCTAGAAGCATTATCTCATGCAATATACCGTTCATGGACGAAGAGAAATAAAGGAGAGATTTTTAACGATGATGAGAAAATTCAGCATCTTGCTTGTGTCGCCATTTTTGATTTGATAAATGATGCAGATGATGATACTCCAAAAATCCATCTTCTGGACAAAAACCCATCATTCGTACCAACCATATTGGCTATAATGAAAGCCACACATAACCGAGATATCGAGAAATGGGGTTTGTACTTAATTCATCAGATTGCAGTGTGTGAGGCAACTCGTGATGAGCTGTGTCAGCATTGGGTTGTTATTGAAGTTGTTTCTAAGCTGGTTGTTAAAAGCCAAGGTGAGCCATTGAGGCTCAGACTGGCATTACAGGTGCTTGTTACATTGGCAAACATCTTGATGGCAAATGATGAAGCAAATGTTTTGCAAGAAATTAGAAGCTATGGAGTCATCATGCCTACAATTGGTTGTCTCAAGTCAGGTGGGTTATTGTCTCAAGTCAGGTATTAAATCCTGCATATATTGAACCTATCAATAGCCAAATTTATATTCAAATTCCCTACACATAGCTGTCGGTGATTTGAGTTGATCAGTTACAAACTGTGAGTAGACGTACAGTGAGAGCTGTGATCAATTTTTAACCAAATGGCTCAAGCCCTAACAAAATGTTATATTATGTATTTTAGTCTAGTAGAAGAAATTTGATCAAGAACATTCCATCATTTCAAAGATTTGATAATTTATTTTATTATATAGTTGTATTTTTTTGTGAGTGGAAGCAAAATATTTGTTCTAACTTTAGGCCTAACTTTCAGTATTCAAAATTTGTTTGAGAAAATTAGGTGGGAAATACTTTTCGGGGAGAGGATACTGTCTAAGACAGTAAACTTGAGACGGAAAACCTGTTGTTTACCAAATTTGTATTCGGACGAGTTTCTCATCTCTGTCTTCTGACATAAATTAAGTGGAGGGAGATTACATGTCTGTGGACACATGCAAATGGTCCAACATATACATAACTGCTGTACTGGTCATCATCATTCTGAAGCCCCAGTCAAACAAGGATGATATTTGACGAGAGTTGCAACAGAGTTACTGTACATCATTCACATTTGACTGCCATCGACTCTCACGTCACTTTGAACTGGTTCAAATTTCACTATGAACATGGTAATATCCAGTCAACTATCATGAAACTCTTGTTCTTGTTTGACCAGGGCATGTGAGTTGATCAGAAACTGCCATTGCAAACTCTCGCTTTTCAACTCTCATTCATTTTTGACCGAAGTTAAGGCAGAGAAGTGCCAATGCATGACTTTTGTTATATAAATTTGGATTGAGTAGGGTAGCAAAGCATTTGCTGCCACCAGGTGACTTAATATGTTTGATCACAGAACCTAGCTAAGAACCCAGATTTGCACCAGACCATGTTTCATATTATTTTATTTGTACTTATACTGAAGAAATTTAAGTCATGCAGAAAAACAATTCCAGACTTTATGTCATGTATAAGTTATGACCGTTGTATGACCGACTTGATCCATGCTTTCTGCCTGTCTAAACCTGACTTTATTCAAACAAAAGAAAACTTGCACAGTTGCACTACATGTGCTTCAGATACAGTATGTCTTTCAATAATTGTGCTAAAAATTGCGAATGATGTATTTTTGGCTTGCTGTGTATTAAAACAGCCAATTGCACTTGCCACTTGTAAACAAGCAAATTGCAATTTCATTGATTGAATCGGTCATGACAAGTAAATAACCAATGAGAGAAAAGAAAATTTTATATATTATATTTCACCATTTGAAAATTGCGCATGAGAAACATTTGAAATGCTTTGACCAAGCAGAAAATCAATTCTGCATAAATCTAAAAAAAACGAATTTCATGTCTATGTTTGATAGGCTAGGAAAACATTAGGAGCTGCCTCAAGACATAGTAGATAACGATGACCGATTGTGCAACACTCGGAAATTATCGATTATTCATGCCACAATGTGCCAGATACCGATGCCGATACCGATTTTATAATGACGTCATAATATCAGTCGACCGAGTAAAGGTGACATCATTCATGTCGATTTTTTAACGATCATTTCCAACGTAACATGTTACTGCAACTAAAGATCGTTAAAACCGTTAATAAATGACACGCTTCACGCATTAATTGAACATATCGCGTTAAAACGCAACGTGTATCAACGTGCAATGCATATTCTTTTTAAACTGCGCATTTTCCCAACAATCGGAAATATAGACAATAGACCAGTGTAATAGACGGATTTAGATTGAGGACGCGGACGTCAAATACGAGGGACGTGAAAATGACGTGTTGTGCCCATGTATGGATATGCCACGCCATTTTGACGCCATTTTCACGTCATCTTTGACGTCCGTCACCTCGATCTAAATCTGTAAATGATCTGTCTAATTCTACCGATAAAGCAAAAATCGGGCCGATGCGGATATCGATTATCGCTCAATCACTATAGTAGTAAGAGAATCAACCATGAGTTTTCAAGTACATCAAGTTGGGGCAGGGCTCGACGTGTAATTTCGATAGAACATGTACTCTTGAGTTGTTTCGATGATGTTTCAATAAAAATTGCACAGTCCTAGGAATTCCACAAAATTTGTAACAACTTTGTGTTACTGTAGCATGGGAGTTTGGGGTGCTGGTATCCCTATCACCAAATTATTCTGGGCTGTTTTTCAAACCACTTTAAAAATGGCTTGCGCACACAAATGTATGGTTTAAAACGCGCAATTTGAATTCATAGGGTGCAAACATGGAAGGTGTTTCATGAACTATCAAAGTACCAGACAATTTGATGTACATTAAGTCCAACGCGTGACCTCTAAAACTTGGACTCCCCGAAGTTCCCAATCATGGAAATCAGCGGCAGGGCGCTGTGTTTTACAGCCCCTTGTCAGCAGTCATGACTTTCCCCCTGATTTTTTTTATCATAAATAATTTCTTGTCGATCAATGATCGGCTGTTATTTCATGCATTTTGATTAGTTTTATGCAGGATTTATTTTTACATACTCTTTACAAAAACTCCAAGTTTTCGAGGTCTCACGTGGGACTTAATGTAGTAAATAATGTACATCAAATTGTCGAGTGGTTTGATAGTTCATAAGACACTTTCCAACTTTGCACCCTATGAATTCAAATTGCATTTTGAGCCTTCCATTTCTGTGCGCAAGTTATTTTTAAAGTTTTTTTTTAAAAACAGCCAACTTGCACTCGAAAATTTAGTTTTCAAAATATTTTAGTGTTATACATACCAGCAGACCCCAACTAATTTAACCCATTCTTGCATAAAGTTCTCACAAATTTGCAAAGTCTTGCTTGACTATTGTATTTGAGTTGTAATTGTTGTTCACAGTTTGCTTATCATCGTGTTATTACTCAAATTACTGCATCTCATTTTGTTTCTAATAATGTTTTGCTTTATCATGAAAAATAGCACCCCCCCTGCACCCCCTCTGGCCAGGGCTAGGGGAGTGCACCCCCCCGCACCCCCCAGTAAATCCATCCCTGACGAGATCAACGTATAAAATAGTAGTACTCCAAATGTTGAAAAATCTTAATTTTACAACAGTTATCATTTAATGTTAAGCGCCTTCATATTTTCGGAGAGATTGAGATTGACAGGGATACCTCTATCTGAAAAATACAAAGAGAACTTCCATCACTGACACTGAAAGAGGACTACCAACACTGGCACAGACCGTTCAAAATTAACTTTCATCCTCTATTTTCAGAAAATCGTGAGCTTATCTACTGGGCTGTTGGTCTGCTACACGAATTTGTTGCCCTTGATATTGCGTTACCAGAGATCTGTGCTGTTCCCATATTACTGAGATCTTTGTACAGTGTTCTCATTTCCAACGAAGCCAGCATTCAGAGATTGGTTTTGAGAGTATTGCGTTTCCTGTGCCAAAGTTCAGACGATTTTAAAGCAAAAACTACGCACAATAAACACTTGCTTGCACGACTGCCGACATGTCTTGCATCTGGGGACCGCGATGTCACCTCATGGTCATTGTATCTTATTCATGATATCGCTACGTCAGGTATGTAGCATTTAATAATTTTGTTATAAATAAGATTTGTTTTGGTAAAATGATTTAATTGTTATGTACACCTTATTGTAAGCAGTTCCAGTATGTCGACTTATGGCGGTTATGTTAATGGTAAATTGTGCTTAAATTATGTAAATTAAATTAAATATAATCCCTATTCTTACGCAGGCCTTAAAATGTCTTTTACAGTGGCGTGAGACAAAATGTCCGATGACTTTTAGTTTGGGTCGGACATATGTATGATGATGTCCGATGACCTTCAGTTTAGTTTGGCTCGGAAATAAGTCTGAATGACACAAATTAATACCAGCACAATGTATTAATTCTGAACTAAATATTGTGAAGATACTGTATTAAGTAATTTGTGTCATTCATACTTATTTCCAAGCCAAAATTCACTTGCTTGCCAGTAATAGCAGTGTACGACTTCGACAATTTAGGCCGGTTTTCCACTTCACCATTTCGTCACCGCCCCGCGCTCGATGACATTATTAAAAACAACATTTCCGGCTCATTTTTATGCACTACTCTGGTTCTCCATTTATAACATACGAGCTTCTAGTCCTGGACTAGGGTACATTTTGATTTACGTACGTAGAGAAAGCGTCGGACAAAGCTACAGTTCGATCGGACACTAGTACATTCGGGTCGGACAAAGAATAAACCTCAGTTTCACTTGGGTCGGACCGAATGTCCGGCGGTTTCCTCTCTACGTCGGACAATTTGACGAATGGGTCGGACAATGTCCGTGACCGGCCGATATTTTAATTAAGGCCTGTTCTTACGACATTTCAATTCTACATTTACCCAGGAAATAGAGCATGCCCTCAGAAGGCAATCTATTGAATTCTTCCAACAATCCGTTGCAGTGAGTCATCAATATTCAAAACTCTCAATTCTCCATGCAACGACCCTGCATGGGTTGAGGCTTCCCTGGCAAATTTCAAGTTATTAAATTAGCCACTTCCCAAAGTCCTGGGTCTGGTCGCGCGAACCCAATGTTGGAGGGACAAGAAATATGACAGCACGCATTTAAATTAAATGTTTAATGTAAAAAGTATTTTAAGGAGATATTTAATTTTTTTCGTCTAAAAAGTTTATATTTGGTAGTAGATACTTCTACTCTTTCACATATTTGACGCCTGTCACCATATATTTTGTCCCTCCAAAGATCCCAGAATGCACTGTGATCTCTTTTGGGAAAAGACTATATACTGTAATAATGGTCATACTGGCAGGATTTTTTTCAGGATTTTCTCTTGGGTCCGTTTTTGCATAGAAGATTGAGTTTAGCTGAACAGTTGGCCCCCCCCCCCCCCTTTAATAAGTGTAGTTGAGACGCAATATGTTAAAGCAGGGGCACTGAGGGACACTATAAACTGGTTAAAGATGGCGAATGCGTAGTTTTTCTTGTGTTGTGAGATGAATTCCAGCCATTTTTTCTTAATTTTCGGGTTTCCAACTGAAAACTAATTTCCACACGTCACGAATTTAACTCAAACAACTTCATTTTTACTGCACCGAAACTTTGTTGAGAAGATTGAGTTTCAAAACTCAATTCAAGATTGAGTTTTGTTCAATAATTCAATCTTACTTTGGATGGACATCGATTTTTACCAAATTACCAGTAGTCCAATACCCAGTAATATTGCACGCAACATGTTGTTAAATTGCACCATGCAAATGATCATGAGTGTCTACAGTACATCGGCCCCAAAACGGCCCCAAAAACTCAATCTTAAATTAAGTTTTACTCAATCTTCTCATCAAAGTTTCGGTGCAGTAAAAATGAAGTTGTTTCAGTTAACTTCGTGACGTGTGGAAATTAGTTTTCAGTTGGAAACCCGAAAATTAAGGAAAAATGGCTGGAATTCATCTCACAACACAAGAAAAACTACGCATTCGCCATCTTTAACCAGTTTATAGTGTCCTTTAGTGCCCCTGGTTTAACACATTGCGTCTCAACTACATTTATTAAGGGGGGGGGGGGGGGGGGGTGCAGCCACCCCAACTGTTCAGCTAAACTCACTCTTCTCTGCAAAAACGGACCCAAGAGAAAATCCTGAAAAAAACCCTGAGTACATGTACATAGTATTATCTGCGTGACGATATTGTCTGCATGCACTATATAAGCGCCATCTATATACAGTACGATTAATAATAGGTAATAGCATGGTTTCGAGTGCAATTTGGATATAACATGCACGAGTGAGTTTTTCAAAGACCTCGAAATAGCACGAGTACGAAGGACGAGTGCTATTTGAGGTCTTTGAAAAACTCACGAGTGCATGTTTATCCAAATTTCACGAGAAACCATGCTATTACTCATTAATAATTTACATAAAAATGTTCGAGACAATTATAGTTTTAACTTACGCGTTTATAGCGAACATTCCACCGGCAAACTTTTCCTGGCTTTGTTATATCACATTATGCAACGCTAACAGCTTGAAAATTCCACTCAACTATGTAATTTTTGTTAGTCTTGTTTAAGGTCAATGCTTTT